AAGCGGGGCCGGTGAGCCCGGGCTGCCTGCCCGCCCTCCTGCCCCCGCCGGAGCCCTGCGGGCACGGGGGGGCTCCGGTCCCAGCCTCTGCCCCGGCGGGGAGGGACCCCACAAGCCTGCCCTGCTTGCCCCCCTGGCTCCTGGTCCTCCCTGACATCCCTGCTCTCAAGTCTCCCCTGCTCCTCGCCCCACTCGTTCGAGCCTTCACTGCTGGACGTCGCATCTCGGCGCCCCTCCAAGGCTAACACCCCAAACCACTGAAGGTCCCGATCCGGTCCAGTTTCAACCCAAAGCAGCCCCTGGGCATGGCCTTCCAGGCCCAGTCTCCGGGCAGGGCCCACTTTCGGCTGGAGAGGGTCTTGCGCCAAAGAGGGGGGCGGGCAGCTTTAGCCCCCGACGGCAGGAACGGGAGGGTGGGGGAGAGCAGCTGAGGACCCAAGCCCGACCCCTCCTCCTTTGTGTCCTCTTCAGCTCGCGTGGACTCGGGCTCCAGGGGCAGCAACTGGGACAGGAGCATCTGGGAAGGTGGGATGAACAGAGAGGAGGAGGGGGTGAGAGCAGTGCTGCCTGTGCTCCCGGTGATTCAGCCTTGCATCCCCTTGACCCCCCCTCTGCCCCACACCTTCCGCGGGGCTCGGGCAGGGTGTGAAATGGTGCCTGCACACAGGGCACTGTGCCCGTCATGTTGCATCCAGACACGGGGAAGGGCTGGACCAGCAGCAGCTCCTGCAGCCTGGAATGATGTTGCTGCCCAAACGAGCAGGGACGCAGCTGCCTTGAGCCTCCCTGGCTGTGCACAGATCGCCCTGCTCTTCTCAAACTCTCTGTCCCCCCCCCTGTGCTTGGAAGCTAACAGGCTTTCTAGCCCTTGCTGCTTTTGCTTATGCTGAGCACACCCGTGTACTCAGGCTGCCGTGGGGCACTTCTCTTTTTTTCCCTGCAGGCTGGTGGGGAGGATGGAGCTGCCCCAAATCACCTGCTGCTAAGGAGCAGGGGGAGGCAGGAGCGACAGCGCTGCAGGTGTGAGGAAGTGTGTGTGTGTGTGTGTGTGTGTGTGTGTGTGTGTGTGTGGAGGGGGGGGG